TGGTGGAATGTAAACACACAAATTGCACAAACTCAATCGTGCGCAGCCCTGCACCAAACCCAACGTCCCGTACTGAAACGGTTCAACACGAATACATGAACCGTTACACCACTGTTAATAGTGCACTGTGTAACATTTCTGAAGAGGGTGTCTGCATGTTTCCACAGAGATAAAAATTGATTTGACTCGCTCCTGTTTGACTCTACCTGGGAGGGCATCTGTGTCTCTCTCCTCTCCTCTGCACCTCTCCTCTTCTCTGTGTATCAGCCACACACTTTCAGACAAATCACTTCTCCCCTCAGGTCGTATATTTGACCGTTTTATGTACTTGGGAGCTAGACTTCTGGTTTGAGAGAAACAAAGCACACAGTGGTGGTTTACCTGAGTGCACCGGGGCAGCTGTCAGTCATCCACAGAGAGCACGTGCACTCAGGCCTGACCATGCAACTTTAATGAGGCAAACTTTGATTAGTGGCTCATGTCTTTTGTATCGCTGAGGCTACGTTTATATGATGACGGTCGAGTGTTTTCGGGAGGAAATCTGCGTGGATACAGTGACGCAAAAGTGTGTTTAATTCGATTGTGTATGCATGCCAGGCGGCTATGTGGTAACGCTACGTGATGATGTATGTGACTGACGTGAGCAGATCTGACCAGAGTTTTGTGTCTTGGGCAGTGCAGACGGAAACGCTACGGCGGAGCGTATTCAACTTTTCCACTCTGAAGGGTGGTTTCAGATTTTTGCGTTTTTAAGCCCCAAAAACACCGTCACCGTCTAAATGAAAAGCACTTCAGATAAAATATTTTGTTGCTTTTACTCGCAAGCATTCTCATGTAAAGAGGCCCTAAGTCACCACACAGTTCACTACGTTATGAAAGTTCGGAAAGCTTCTGTGAAATGTTGGTCCTACCTCAGCGTCTTGAGGTAACGCTAGAAAATCATCTCAAATCTTCTCCACCAGGTCTTTGTTGAGACTCATTTTGGTGCATATCAAAATTAGAACTAAAGCTGTAACTAAATCTGGGCTGGACCAGGACTAAAGCAAAACTAAACCACATGTGGATCTGGACTAAAGTTGATACAAACCTGGACCAAATCAGGACAAGTGTGAACGGTATTAAAGGATCCATATTTTACTATTTTCTAATCTATGTTCTTTTTTTTTTGCTTTTTGGCTTTCTGAGTTCTTCTCTCAAACTGAAAACACTCAATTCCACCTTGTGATGTCATGTGGTAATAGAGTAAGTGTGTTTTTAAACTCCACACACCTTCGTTGAAACGATTTAGATCATTTGAGCACTGGAATTTCTACTGAACAAATGTAAACAGAGCTGTTGATTTGAAAACTACCGCTTCATGACATCACAAGGTGGAACTGGACTTTCGAGATGTAGACACAGTAATAATAAAGGATTACTCATGTCTGAATGAAACAAAACACAACTCCAGGTCTGTTTTTCAGGACAAAACGACACTGCAAAAAGCTAAATCTATGTAAGTTAAAATGACTTAAATTAAGAACATTTCTCTTTATTTGAGTCGATTTAACTATAAGTATAATGATCTACCAATGGAACAAGTGAGTTTTTCTCAATTCAAGCAACATTAGATTGTGCAAGAGTTGTTGTTTTTCTTATCTTAAGTGTAGCAAGATGTATTTTCATATTTTAAGTACAAAAAGTGCAGTGTTCCAGTGGCAGATCATTTTGTTTGTCAAGTGAAATCTACTCAAATTTCAATAAAACTTTCTTAATTCAAGTCATCTTAAAATGGCTAGATTTGGGTTTTTGCAGTGCATTCTAACATGGCTTAAAGGGGCACTGTGAAACTTTTCTGGTGGAGCATCTGGCACCTCTGTCTCCATGGAGATGTTGCTGCTCTACGTGGAATATCCCGTTTTTTTTGTTTTTTTTTTTACTTAAAAACTCGCACAATTCTTACACAAAGTCATTCAAAGTGCTTTACAGAATAAGAAATACATTAAAATCACAATAAAAACAAATCAAAACATAAATAATCATCATGAAATTAAAGATTAAAATTAAAACAGAGAGACATTAATTTACGGAAGCCGAGAGGGGTCACAGCAAACGCAAACGCCGCAACAAATACAAATGCGACAACACAACAAAAAGCCACAACAAACAAAAAAAAGCCACAATAAACCAAAAAAAGCCACAACGGAAATGACCGCGGGACTCTATTTTAATGCAAACGCCGCAACAAATACAAACACCACAACACAAACGCAAACGCTGCAACACATTAAAAAGCCACAACGCATCAAAAAGCCGCAACACATCAAAAAGCCACAAAGGAAGTGACCGCGGGACTCTATTTTCTGACGGACTGATCAAGCGGCAAGTGAAGAAGAAGAACTACAACATGAAACGAATAATGATAAAACAATAAATTACTTTTACTTACATTTCCAACTTCTCCGTTCCTTTACTTTTCACGTTCTAGTTCTTCTTCTTCACTTGCCACTTGATCGGAAAATAGAGTCCCGCGGTCATTTCCCTTGTGACTTTTTTTGGTGTGTTGTGGCTTTTTTTGGTTTGTTGTGGCTTTTTAACGTGTTGCAGCATTTGCATTTGTGTTGTGGTGTTTGAAATTGTTGCGCCGTTTGCATTAAAATAGAGTCCTGCGGTCACTTCTGTTGTGGCTTTTTTTATGTGCTGTGGCTTTTTAATGTGTTGCGGCTTTTTAATGTGTTGCAGCATTTGCGTTTGTGTTGTGGCGTTTGTATTTGCTGCGGCGTTTGCATTAAAATAGAGTCCCGCGGTCATTTGCGTTGTGGCTTTTTTTGGTTTGTTGTGGCTTTTTGTTGTGTCGTCGCATTTGTATTTGTTGCGGCGTTTGCGATTGTTGTGACCCCTCTCGGCTTCCGTATTAATTACATACATTAGAGATCGTACCGTGACTGAGCTCACCTTTCCGCAGATCTGGCATGACACTAAGCCCTACGGAGTCACCTGCTGTCTCCGTAGAGAGAAATCAGTGTAATGCCATACCCTGGAACATTCCTGGCCACATCTCCATGGACAGAAGCAGAAAAGTGATACAGCGCACCTTTAAAACTCACAAAAAATAGAACTTTAAATGAACTCCCGTGCTTTTACATGATCCTATAACAAATCCCAAGGTCAAGGTGTCGGTAGTGAATAATGCATATAAGCCCTTTAAACTGTCAGGAGAGTGAAAGGTTACCCCCTCCTTCCCTCCCTCCTTCCATCCCTCCTGCTGTCCCTGTGCCCAGACTGGCTCCAGGCGGCACGTGCCCGGCGCAGGTGACACCTCCTGGGCACCGGGCGGCCGTCATTAGCCTGTTGTTATGGGAGCGTCCGGGGTTGCCAGGTTTGCGCTGTCAAAATCCTCTGGTGTGCCCGGGGACAAAGCAATTATAGAGAGCGGCACAGGCGATGATTCAGTCAGCCGTGGCATCTGACGGAAACGTGGTCACATTCAAACGCTGCAATTCATTACGGGCTCGATTAAAAAGGCTGCTGTTTTCAAAATTGGGATACGTGGCTGAAACTGACCACAATTTGTATTCGAAGGTTTAGGGTTCAAGTATTAAAGATGTAACTTCTTCACCTGCTTGTCTCCATGGAGATGTTGTTGCTTTGCCTTAAGTTTTCTATAATATTTTCATAATAATTTTACTATACTATGCAAAATTACACACTTTAAGTCTTGTTAGAATGTTCTGTCATGGGTTCGTCCAAAATAAATGTAAAGAAATGATGGCTCAGTCGATAAAAACTTCACTTGAGTGTGTTTTTATTCACACCACAGCCCAATGTGCAGAGTGCAGTATTTACAGTGGAAATGATGAGGTAAATTAAAAAAAAGAAGTATTTACACTAATATTTCCAGTAATAACACAGTAAGTCAGCACCCATGTAGTCAGGCCAAAAACAGACCAAAGACTGGAGCTCCCTCTTATATACCCCTTAGCCCCTCCCCCTGGGCCAACCAGTTAACGAAAAATAGGGTTTTAAGGATTTAACATGAGAAAACCTGAAATGATGAACATAAATCAACTTGGAAACAAACAGAATAACTTAAAAATAACTTAAAGGGCCCATCTCGTGCAAAATATCTCTTTTCACGTTGTATCTTCTGCACATAAACAAGCACAATTTGGGTTTTGGAACATCCATTACACAATAGTTCTGATTTCTGATTGTACTGATTTCTTGGAGACAGTCACAGACCAGGAACTATGAAAGACAGACTATTACTCCTCCCCCCGCCCGTCCTGAGAAAACACAGGCTCCGCCCTCCAAACGTGACGTAGGCGACGAGTGAGCCGCCCTTCCTCCGCCCATCTCAGGGAGGGAGGGGGAGACAGACGTGCACCCTGATAGTGGTAGGAATAAACTTTTATTCATCATGGAGATACAGCGCGTTCAGCCGCATGTGTTGGACCTGGAATCGGACGAGGACTTTGAGGAGCACGAAGCTCAAGCACCACGTCCACATCAACTGAACATTACTGATTGGTAAAGTATTAATAAACACTAGTAGATCAACTTATTATATCGTGTTCACTGCAGTGTGGAACAATGAGCTTATGCTGTCACTTTTGTTTACGTGTTCATGTGGGAATTGTCAGCCGATGTGGGGTGGAGGCGGTGGAGCGGGCCGGGTGTGAAGTGCTTTGTGCTACGTCAAACGTGTCATAGGTGTATCTGCCGCGTCATCATTGTAGCAGCTTTAGTTCATTGTCACGTGGGAGGGTGGCAGAAATACACTGTAATTTGTTTTTAAAAAAAAAGCTGAATCAATCTAAAAACCACTTTGCGACATATACAAGGCCCACACATCACTCTTAGAAGGTAGAAACCTCTGAAAAGTTGATTTTGCATGAGGTGGGCCCTTTAAAGAACCCGTCATATGGTTATCCTCAACTCAATGTAATAACTTAAAAAAACAAACTAAATGTACAAACTGACTGCAATGTTTGAGTCTGAGATCATGTGATTTCCTTTAGCGCCCCTATGCACTATTTAGAGCATGACCAGGAAGTGCCTCGGTTTGGCCCCGAACCAGAGAAGGGCGGGAATACAGCTGCAGGTAAGAGCGTGTGGGGAGTAGGCGTGGAGTGTGCACCCTCGAACGCACTAGCAGAGAAAACAGAGACCAGGTAGCGGGAAAACAGTCTGTGGGGATACAGGACCGCGAGACACATGAGCGGCCCTGTACATGAGGAATACGGTCGGGTGATGACGGGGCAACTGTGGGCGCTCTGTCACATGTTCCCTCGTCAAAAACAGACCTGGAGTTGTGTTTTGTGTCATTCACACATGTTTGAGTAACCCTGTATTATTAATATGTCTATCTCCAAAGCTTAAAATGTTCTGTTCACAAAAGTCAGTTTAGTGTAATACAGGATGTAGAATCAGTGCAGTAGTTTCATTAGTAGGATTCACGCTGATTGAGTTGTGATAGTGCTTTAGAGGGGGAGTGACTTAGCACGAAGAGCAAAGGGACGAGAGACTCAGAACATCAAAAACAAAAGTGAAACTTTTCTAGGTGAAATGCTCAAAACTCTTAAAGGTAACATGATGATCTAAATAGTGTATGTTCTGTGTGAGCAGTTAATACCCCATAGAAGGAAAATCTCCTCTTTCAAGACTGTCCTCATGCTGTGATGCTGCAGCAGATGCAGAATAAACTTCCTTTCCTTTAAAAGAGCACACACACACACGCACACACACACACACATTAACGTGTAGACTGTATTCACCTTATTCTGTAAGTTGTGTTGTATTATTTTGTATGGGGCAGATCCTCACAGCAGATAAGTTGAATATGGATTATAAAGCTGTTTTAAAGCCTCCACAGAATCTGTGCAGTGCGACTTTTTGGTGCACATGAACATTTTACACAAATGAACTGACTTTATGTCATTTTGTACCTGCAAAACGATTCCTAAATTCTCAGTTGAAATGAAGGGGATTCCTGTTTAACTGTTAGTGCCACCACAAGAAAGCGAGATTTAAAGTTGCTCAAGACAAGACACTTGGCAAGACATTTCACTGGCATTATCGACTCCAGTCCCAGCTGCTTACGACAGGGAATCTGGTATAAAACCCAGTTAAGGAGGTTTTATAGTTGTGCGTCGACTCAGCGCACACCGCCTTGTTGCCTTGTCGCTGTCATTTTTGATTTATTTGTTCTCTTTTGTTTTTGCTCTTTTTTTCCTGTATGTAAATCCCCTTTATGAACCCTGGACCCTGATTGCTGCGGCAGTTACGGCTGGACTGTGGGTGGGCTGTGACTGTCCCAGAGCACCACCCCTCTCCACCAAACCCGGGACTCCACCGGCCAATGAAAGTGTCTGTCTGCCACCAGCTCAGGGCAGCTGGATCTTTCTGTGTCAGCTCACCACTAGTTCTGTTCTGTTGTGTCATGTCTCATTTTGAGTTGTTACATAGCCCGCTGGTGATTTTTTGTTTTGTTGAGACACTTTTTTAAGCATTAGGATTACAAACTTGAGTTACGTTACCATTTGTTTGTAATCAGTTAGGAAATAATTAAGGCAATTTTTGATTTTCTTTCTAATTTGTTAATAATTTTTGTTAGAAAACCTTAATTTGATTTGGTATATTTTTTACCAATTTTTTTTTCTGTTAATAAATTACAATTTTTAGTTAACCTTATACATCTGTTTTTTTTGTTTTTTTCTTTTTGTTTTTTGTGTTTTTTTTTTTTTAGCTGAGTTGGTCGTAACAATTTTAACTTTACTTATTTAATTTATTATTTTTTTTTTTTACTGTAAAAAAAAGTTGTAAATGTTGTTCAGTGATCATGGGCGGAGTGGAGAGTTTGCAATGCAGCGCCCATCAGCACTCCACCTACCCTCTTAAAAATAAAAAAATAAAAAAAGTGGACTAAAAACAAACACTTGCCGCACTTGAATCTTAGATAACCTACCTCGAATTATATTGAGACGTTCTATGTCTTCCAATGCATGGTGTTTGAGATGTTCGACAGGAGCCTGCTTCACTTGGGTGGACACAGATTAACATTAAGTGAGCTCCGTCCAATAACACACTAGCTCCTGGTGATTTTAGAGGCGATCGGTGAAGCTGTGATTGTTCACGCCGACTTAAAAGCCAGGCAACATTATGCTGGTGAGCAAACTGGTCAACCTTTAAAAGTTAAACTTATTCTCCCCGCCTCAGTGTGGCTTTCTGAACGAACACTTCCACCCACATTCTGAATTCACGAACGGTTTATACTCAGCACGTTACAAGGCATCCAGCATCTCTACTGTGTAAGGTCGGACTAATGGGCTGACCCTGTAGTGATGTGTATGAATTGGCTTACATGTGGGGACCAATTGGCTAAAACGTGCGGCCGAATTACATATTGTGGGAACGAAATTGTAATTTGAGGCCACGATTTAGTGTATTTTTTCTCGTACGTCATCAGGCGGGCTCCCTACCAACGTCATGAGCCAGTCAATTTCTGTTTGTATCCTCCCCTTGAGTGGATTCTCAGTCTGGTCACTTTTAAAAAATCGTCGGACCTGGGGTTGTGCACTGCTGCGATGTTTCCGTATTGTTGTAGTGACCAGATCTGTGACTGTTCAATGACTGTCAGGCTTCAGCTATAAACCATCGCTCATGTGTCGACGCACCACTTCACTCTCAATACTGACAGAGCCCAAACTGTACGAACAAGTTGGATACTTTAGGTACAGTAGCCGTGCTGGTTGAAAGATTGGTTTAGGTTTGTCTAATTCGATTGGTAGCTGTAAATAGACTAATAATTCAGAGTTCCTCAAACATGTGGATGATGAGGTAACCATTTTACTCAAACTGCTTTAGCGTACTATTGTGCTCATGGGCAGGACACCATCCACCATGCTTATGTGAAAATGGGATCATATCACATTGGGGTTAGGTTAATTATCTTTTAGTAGGGTGATCGTTCTTTTGCAGTGACTGGTCCTGCCCTGACCTGCCTTTGTTCAAAGCCAAACTTCAAACCTACTTATTAAGAATGGCTTTTAACACTTAGTGGCCCCGTGACACTTTCTTTATTTTAATGGTGTAATGCGCTTTGTTGACCTGTTTGTATGATGTTTATTGTTTTGTTTTTTTAATCTTGTTTTAATGTTGTACAGCACTTTGGTCAGCTTTGGTTGTTGGAAGGTGCTATAGAAATAAAGTTTGATTGATTGATTGATGTAATAATAACAGAAATATTGTGATATTGTATCGCCAAAAGTTTCACAATAATATCACTGGGCTGTCACAATATATTGAATTACAAGTTCCTTTGCTTAAATACATGGTTTTATAGTAGCAACAGCTTATGAACATTATGAACTACATATCCCATGATTCATTTCAGTGCAGACAACATGAAGAAATATGTTTTTTACTTGAATTCTTGGGATTATGATGGAAATAATTCACACCAAAATATTGTCAAGGTGTTTTAAAAGCAAAAACGTTTCCTATCAACAGTTATATCAGCCTCTTCAAAATATCGCAATTAATATCGTACCGTGAGATGCATATCGTGATAATATCGTATGTGAGATTTAGATATTGTTACAATCCTATCTTTTAGTTATAAATATTAGAAGTGTTTTTGCACAGAACAAAACAAGCCAACTCCTGGGCACGCTGGGTAATATTTTCACATAATTAAATATTTCAGTTTGTCTTTTACTTATTCTCATTGTATTTTTATTTTACCTTATAGCCTTTTCTTCTTTGCTGCTCCGTGGTTGTCCCCTCACACACACACACACACACACACACACACACACACACACACACACACACACACACACGCACACACACACCCACACCCACACACACACACACACACACACACACACACACACACACACACACACACACACACACACACACACACACACACACACAGAGTACATGAGTGCTGTGCTCCTGCTGGGACATAATGGCCTCACGCTGTCTGCATGTTTGTGTGAGTGGAGGAGGAAGACCACAGTGTCCTGAGGAGGCGCTGCCGAGCAAAACATACAGCAACAAGTGAAATAAGACAACAAGACAGGTCCACTATGGAAAATATGTACAAAAATATCTTTAAGCTGGTGGAATTAAGTGATGATTTAATTAAACCAATAAGACTCCAGTTGCCTGAGCAGTCAGTTCCTTCTACATTCTGTTCAAATCTAGAAGGGTTGGACCACAGAGCATGAAAAATGTCAGTCCAGAAAAGCCTGATCTGGTCACATGTCAGAAGCTCAGCAGGGCCGGGCCTGGTCAGTAGTGGGATGGGAGACCGCGGGGAATACCAGGTGCCACAGGGGGGCGCCAGTGTGGTAAAACTACTGATGTGTTTTTAGGAAAGACTTCACTGACATGGCCCAGTATGACTGTGGTGTGTGTGTGAGTGTTGATGATGGTCGGAGGGGCGGATGGTGCAGATTGGCAGCAGCATTTCGGTCAGTCTGTCCCAGGGCAGCTGTGGCTACAACAGTAACTCACCACCTCTGAGTGTGGAGTGAATAAATAATGCACCAAACTGTAAAATTACTTTAAGAGTCTGGAAAAGTGCTGTATAAAACAAATGCATTATTACATATATTTATCATTATTTTATGTTCATTATTAATAGATAAGTTGGTAACACTTGATAAAAAGGTGCCATAATAAATAGCAAACTAGTAATTACCTAACCCTTTGTTAATATTTGTTAATTGTTACTAAAATCCCAGTTTGGCACAAGTTAATACTTTTTTCATCATTAATTAAACATTAGTTATTTGCATTATTAACTATTACTATTAACTAATATCGTATTCATATTTGTTAATAGTTAACTAAATGTCTTTTTGTGTTAAGTATGAGAGTCCCACTGTAAAATATTTGCTGTCCTTAATAAATGTTATAAGAAACATTTATAAATCGTTAATAATTATTGTTCCAACTTTATTATAAGGTGCCCCACACTTATATTTATATATTACTAATATTTGAATTAAGCTTAACCAACTTTATGGTAAGGATTCTATGAGGAGTGGTTCATATTGAGAAAAGCAGAAGCACAGTTTAATAACAGTTAAA